AACGCATTTTTATACTTTAATATTAATTTTAAAATATATATAAAATTACCTATATATATATATATAACAAACTAAAATATAAAAATAAAGTTGTAAAATTAAATAAAGCTTTATATAAGTTAAAATAATTACTTATGCTTTAATATAAATACTTAAAAAATATATTAACTAAGCTAAGATTTATTATTTATCTATATAATTAAGGGGTATTTATATACCTTAATAAATAAATTATATTTATATATTATATAAATAATATTATTATTATAAAACTTAATAATAATGATATAAATTTAATAATTAATAAACTATATAAGAATATAAAATTAAATTTTTAAGGAGATTTAATAAATTTCCTTAAAAGCAATATATATATAAATAGAAAAGATAAATAAATAATTATAAATTAAAATAAATATATAAATAAAATATTAAAAAGATTTAATATAAAAGAAAAGGTTAAGAAAAAGGAAATAATCCCTTAACTTACATTATATACCCTTAATAGAAAATTAAAAAAATATATTAACCAAGTTAATAAAAATACTATAGAATTATATTAGCAATAAATAAGGTTTATATTATATGCTAGCTTAAAAACTAGGCTAGATTTAACTTATTTTATAAATAAGTTAATTAAATATATAGCAAACTTAAAATTAAAGCATATAAAAGAATTAAATAAAATATAAGGATATATATATAAATTTCCATATATATTTAAAATATATAATTGCTTTAAAAATAATTTATAATTAATAAGCTATATAAATTTAAACTGGGGTAATGATATATTTACTAGAAAGAGCACCTTTAATTATATATTTAGCTTATATAATAATAATAATAATAATAATAATAATAATAATAATAATAAAATAAATCTCATAAGCTGGAATTCTTAACTATAAAAAACGCTAGCACTTTCCTTTATAAAAGCAGAATATATAGCTTTAAGAAAAGCTATAAAAAAAGCTAAATATTTATATAATTTACTTAAATATTTTAATAATAAATTAAATATTAGCTTTAATTTTAAGCCCCTTATTATATATATAAATAATAATAAGGCTAAGAAATTAACTAAAAATACCTTATTTTATAAAAAAACTAAATATATAAATATTATATATTATTATATAAAAGAAGCAATAAAAAATAATAAAGTAATATTAAAATATATAAATTTTAAGCAAAGTTTAGCAAATTAGCTTATAAAACTAATAAATAAACTACATTATAAAGAGTTTAAAGAAAAGTATAATTTAATAAAAATATAATATAAAAATATTAAGCTAAAGAATAAAGAAATTTTCCACCTATATTATAATACGCGCAAAATAAATTAAGGTATTTACTTTTTAATAACTAAGGTTAAGATTTTTTCCTTTACTTATAATATATATAAATAAATAAAGCGAACTTAAATATATATATATATAATATTACCCTAAATATTAAAGGTTTTCCCCTAAAAGAAATAATTAAAATAATAAAGGTTTTTCCTAAAAAATAAGCATTACTTACATAGCCTATATATATTATATATACACATAATTACAATATACTTACACTGCATTTATATATATTTAATTTTATATAAAAAATATATTTTATAATATATATAATATAAATAAAATAATGTATAACTTTAATATATAAAAATGCCGTGATATATTATAGCTATTATAAAATAACCAATAAATCCTATATAAAATTATAATTTAATATATAATACCTTATTAACTATAAATTTAAGTTTAAGTAATAGCAAAATTTTTAAGTTTTTTACCTAAATATATAAACACTTAATAAGTAAGTTTCTCCCCTTTTATAAGGTTTTTTCATTATATAACTAAATATTCCTTTTTTATAAATTAAATCCCTTATATATAAAATAAAATAAATAAAAGGGAATTAGTTTAAGGGGGGCTATTGAAATATTTTAGATATCTAGGCTATTATTAATACGGGATATCCTTTTCCCCATACGTTTGCCACTGTATGGAGGATAATAACTATAAATAGGGGCCTTCCCTCCCGTAGAATAGACGTTAGCTAGCCTAATAAACTAAGCATCCAACGCTATTATTTCAGAGGATGGACGTTGCAGGCACATACCCACGACATTCGATACTTACCGGAGCACTTCAACACGAGTCATTCTACTAGAAACAAGCTTTCATTTTCTTGTTTTTTTTTTTTTTTTTTTTTTTTTTTTTTTTTTTTTGTCTTTTTCGCCCCCAAGATATAGTTGTGCTAATATAAGTCCACGTGGTCATCAAAACACTGAGGTGTCAGTAATTCGGATTCGCGTAAGTGACAAGCACGCGACCCAGGCACCTATGATCGGTGAAATGCGGAGCTGGGCGGGATGTGTGCGGGCAAGGGTCTTGATCGGCATCGCACATCCTCTTGATTGGCTCAACTTGCCATGTTGGTTGCGTGCCCAGCACTTTATTACGAACCAGGTGTAGTTGGTGCAATCCTGAGGTGGTTCCTTCGCCCGCAACTCCACGCTGTGACTGAAATTAAGTGATGCATGCTGCATTTGACCGGTCGTTCCTCTGTGGAAGGACTGATGAATCACTGCGGGTCTGATTGTGCAACATCACGGCGTAAGAACACAAGTACGCTATCAAGCCAAGGTGAGATCTGCTGCCGGTCGACAGCGCTGCCTGTGAAACATATGGCAAGGACATGACTGATAAGCAGGGTCAGTCTCGAAGACGTTTCCGTCTGCTTGAGAGTGCGGTAAGAAACGGCAATTTTCAGTGCTCATCTCATCACAATGAGAGGCTATGACAAAACGGAGCAACATGCTGCTCCCAGTCATTTCGCCCGCGGAGCTCACCGGGGAGCACATCCACATCCCTCAACTGCCAAACCCTCTCAATCACTGACTGCGTCTGCAATATGTTGGACACAGAGCTCCCAGCCATCTTATCGAGAGTAAACAAAACAAAGTTATGCCCATAGTGTGGCGTAGCCGAGGTCACTGCCTTAGTCATCCAGACCAGGTCCTCCAGCGGGTCCAGCTCAACAGCCGCAACAAAAATAGGCCACGCCAGCCCGGCCGTAACACCCCGCTTTAGCAGCGCAAAGCAGAGACGCAAAATCTACATAATAGCCGCGCCAACGCCACAGGGAACGCGGCTAAGCACTACGGATAGCGTAATTAAGGTATAAAACAGCCAAAAGCTACTTCAGCTTAACAGTAGTCTGCAGAACTTCATCCTCCAGGCCGGGAATCTGCTACTCAAGCCGGCTAAGCCTCTTCTTAAGCACAAACACCCAGGATACAAACAGCTCCAAGATAGCCACAGCAGAATCCCTTAACCGCCGCCAGCTCAGCTCCATAATCTTACAAAGAATCAAGACCAGCTCAGGCAAGCACCTAAGCTACGCATCAGTATCACATCCAGCCCCGTAAGCCACCCAGAAGTCACCGTCAAAAATGGGCTCCTCGCTGCAGGCTATCCGGCTAATAATGTTCTGGTATGCAAGGAACTTCTCCGCAAAGCCGACCAGCTCAGCCGATAACCGGCCCTCCTGGTGCAGCGCCGTTGCGGAGGGGGGGCAGAGGAGGAGGGCCCGCTTGTGCAGCCGGATGAGGTCCCGCACGCCCCTGAGGTGGACAACCTACCGCTCATTGCTATTGTAAACAATACCCGTGAGGCAGAGCAGTATTATAATAAGAAGCATCTCTGGGTTAAGAGCTACCTAGTTTAAGTCAGCTATCCTTATCTTATAACTAAGGTAGCAGAAAACACTACTACTAAGCTTCAGCGCTATAGGCTTATAAGTAGCGTCTTATCTTGCTTAGTAACTAGTAGTAAGCGCAAAGATTAAGTTTAAAACAGCTGGCAACTTAAATATAAAAAAGGGGAGGATTAGTATTGCAAATAAAAACTTAGATTATAAACTTAATACGGTTAATAAATACAGTTTTTCCATATAATATATTAAGAGATCTAACTTAAGTGGGCCCAAAGATAGGAATGATAGAGGTGGGCCGATGCTCAAAGTTATTAATGGTCATTCTGTGCCCAAAGGGCAGAGGGGCATGGAAAGAGGTTCCTTCGATTCTAGGACATCATCGCTGTCGACAGCATGGACTCTGGCTTCATCATGATGGTAAGGTTTGGAGCTCAAGGTCAGGAGCCCATGATTCGAATCTGAAGAGGCAGCGGATATCAAGTCGAGGGGGTCGGTGGTCTGCATGCCAAAGGTGGTATTCACAAAGCTGTAGGCATGTATTGGCGGGATATCGCCGCAACCCCCGTTTGTGAGCCATGTTCCTGGAGTTTGACCTCGTCCAGGATCCAGGCGGCCGGCAGTATCCTTAGCGCCTGGACGCCTGGACGTCTGACGCACCTGGGGGCCAGCTGGCCCCTTCGGTGGATGCAAACAGGGCAGGTTTAAACGAGACCTGCCAAACTCAGCTAAGCTCACTATAGATCCACCCCCTCCTCACTTTAGCACAGTCACACTCTGACCTCGTGACCATTCTAGATTCGGAGGCAGCTCGACAGGAGGGGTGACTATATAGGTGTGAATCATACAGCTCCATGACAGTAATAAGTTTGGAGTTTCTAGCGACAAGGAACTTACAACGCATCCAACAACTGCCTGCCTGTTTAGCTGGAGCCATGTTCCGTGTTGCTTGTGGATTCTCGCCATCTAATGATCGGTACCTGCCTTCCTCCTCTGCTGATGTGCAGCACATCTACCCCACCTTCTGCATGCTGGACGGAACAGCCCAAGTACCTAGGTACTTGCTAACAATAGGCGCCGCCCAAAATAGACTGCCAACCAAAGAGGTGGGCTGATTCACATATAATCAGGCAGACTGCAGACTGCAGCCTGTTGCTCTTGTTCTTTGTCTTACCGTGTCTCATCAATCACCTACAAATTTTCTCATTTCTTGGGGTGATTCCACAATTTTGTCTCCCCTGGCTTCATATTTCTAGTCCGTATCAGATTGTCCAGACGTCAACATGCCGGCAGTCACCGTCCTCCGAGGCTTCCAGGTTTCGGTGTCAACCCTCGATGCCTTCCTCGTCGCCAATGGCGTCAGCGCAACAGACGGCATTCCTCCTAACTATCCCGACCACCCGGACAACGACCACATTTCCAAGCTGTTGTTCTCCAAGATGGGCGAGACGGGTGACAAGAACAACTACCGTGTCATCATTCCGCAACGAACAAGCAAGAGTGACGCCGACACGGCCTATGTCACGTACTGCTGGTTCATGGTTTTTGCACAACGGGAGCTGCGAGACGGCGACCTTCCCACCGAGGCGCCCCAGGCCTTTGAAGGCCTCCGGAACGAGATTCTCTCATTCGCAAATCCCCCGACTGACCAAGTCGACGGGCGGATGGGGCTCTACATCGTCTTCACAGAAGAGAACAACTACATGCCTGACGAGATTCGGCAACGGAACTTGATTGTACGTCTGGCATTGCTGTTTCCTTACCGCAGGGTTTCCCTCCAGTATTTACTAGTCGGTACTAACCTTGCTCTCAGAGAGACATCAGATGCGATTTCTGTGATGAATCATGGACTGATGAACCCTATGCGTGGAAGAGATGGCAAGCACACCGTATACAAGTCCATGGTGTAAACGAACGACCCGATCCGCTCCCACAGGCTTAGATGGAATACCACGTCGTCACCATCGACTATTGTACCAGCCCCAGAGATTCAGAAATGTGTTCAGTATACTGTCCTGCAAGCCTTGCCCTAGCCATATGATAACCAAAGGAATCTGGCAATGTTCCAATGGATATAGTCTTATCATTTCAGACGCGACACTGGGAGGAATGAATCACTGAGATACCATGTCACAAACGAAGACCGTCTTCCCTTACTGTCTGCACCCTTCATATTACACTTAATGCATCCACTGAATCCGTCATTGCATCACAATTCTTAAGATGCTGGAGATGCATATTTATAAACGCAAATAAGTTGATTTCCATGTGGCCTGCCACAACTGTTCTAATCGAAGTCTCTATCTAGGCGTATGGACTTAACCATCGATGCTATCGTCGCTATCCTCCTGATGCTCCATGCCGTATGCTTTCTGAAACATCTCAGAAGCTTGCAGGGTTGGCATCATTGAACTGTTGGCCTCGAATCATCAAGAACAGGTTCTCCAGATATTGCAGCTGTGCCACGTTGGCCAGCTGGCCGGCATTGTCCCAGAACTGGATCGAGTACGCCCGCGTCGTATCAATAGCCAGCCGCCCGGCTGCAAGCTGGCCGTTCGGGATGGCTTGGTTAGAGATATGCGCCTGATTGGGCAGCAGATTCTGAGGAATCTGGCAAATTCGGCGATCCACCAACCAGTCTTGTTTGTTAGGATACGCCTGCCGATCCATAAGGAACGCCAAGCCCTGAGGATTTGCGTTGGGCAATTGTTGCATGCCAGCAGCTTGGTTCGGAGGGTCCCAGAGGAACGGCATCCACTTCAGGCCAGTGGTCAAGATGAGAAAGACCCGACGGTTCGGGTGCGCGTTGTTCAACCTTGTGACGGCTTGGTTCATGCACAGCTTCCACCTGTTCGGCACGTCCTCGTCGGGCGCCTTACACTCGATCCAGAGGATGTCCCTGTCGGTGGCCACCGGAGGTAGCACATTTGCAATCGTCATGAACCTGATAACAACGACGTCTGGTTTCTGGTCTTCCGGGTCATCAGGAGGGAGCCCTCGGTATGCCTCTCGGGGGATAAGATAGGTGGGCTGGCCGGTGTTGGTTTGGTCGTGGTCAGGATAGTAAATCGCGCCAATGGCAGCCCATGCGTGCCAACACCAATCTTCCTTGCTTCTCAGAACGGGATCATTGGACTTTACAGCCAGCTTTCCTATGGCAATTGCCGCCGATTCGTTCACATGCCAAAAGTGTCTATATCACCATTAGTCAGTCTTCCGACGCTGAGAGGACAATCGTGTCATACCGTTGAGGTTGCGCCGCCATCTTCAGCGTCGGATGAGAATTGATGCTCGTGTGTATAGAGTGCCGTCTTTGATTAGGAGCCTCGATAAGTTTAACTTGAGACCAACTGTGCAACAAGGTAGCAGCTGAGTCTATTTGCCAGGTAATGATGTTTCTTAGTTGAATCTCTTTCCACCACCGAGGTGAAGGGCTACATTTTATATACGTGAGGACTATAACCCAGACTCGGCTGGAATGTTTTCTGTGCCGCTTCCTGCTTGAAGTCATTCGCAGCACTGGTGATGCTGACCATGGAACACCATGTTTCTTTTTCCCTGCCTGGTCCGTCTTCCCACCGCTTACTTTGGCCGCTTGGCCAAGGCTACGATATTATTCGTGGCCCACGACTTCACCAGAAGGACCTATTTCAGTCCAAACAAGGCCGGGCTCGGGATGCGGTTGTCATACAGGATGAGATGGATGCATCGCGACAAAGGTACGCTGGGTATTTTTGGTGTCACACGAGGGTCCAAAGTTTGCTTACGGGTCCCAAGATATGTTTCAAGAACATGCCCACCGCCGGCATGGGTCGTGGCCTGGTAAGTCGCTTGAGCTCTTTGCCGCGTTTAAGGCAATCTTGCAGTCCGTTCGTCCGGGGGACGGGGGAGGGGGGATGGGGGAGTGGGCCAGTGGTGTCAAGACCTCGTGTCCCTGTGCCCCAGAAATTGCTGACCAGCCGAGCCTGTTTTGGTACATAGGTGGTGAGGGGCAAGCTCGAATAATGCATCCTAAAACTGGGGCAAACTCGAATAATGTGTCCCAAAATGGTATTGGTATTTATAGCTTGAGCCTCATCCATACTTTTAGAGGCCCGTTTTGGACCTCAATATTGTCATTATGGGAGTTTCACCTGAGTGCCCACCACCTGCGTCAGATTACTTCGACTGTACCTAGGCGCTATGACTATAACACTGTAAATCTTCTACCACACCGAAACCTACCAAACGGGCCACCGCTTGGCCAGACAACCACCGCAGCCGGCCTGAGCATTCAAGTGTCTAGACATGTATTTTGTTTTTTAGATCGCTCCTTTGGAACAATCCTTTGGCTCCCATATGTATACAGTACCTCAATGAGCCATTTCTATTTTTGAAAATGGAAGAATGGCTAAGCCAGAAAGGCCCTGCCGCCCCAGTTATGTTGGGGGCTGTCATACTGATCTGATGGGCGCACACCACACGACCCATTACTTGGCATCCACACACTTAGGCCACTATATACAATACTCTGTTGATCTGATAATAGCTCCTTATACTGCTCAGGGCAACAATATATATACAGAGCTGTTATCCCCTCCGTTCATCGATTCCAATACCTCAGAAGTATAGAATAGCGTTGTTACACAAGCCGAGCAGCCCACGCCAAGCAGATTTAAGCGAGCACACCCAGAAACGTAATCGCCAAGCGACGCCATCTTACCTAATTTCTACGTCCCCCGAAGCGAACATCAGGAATCATGGCCGGACTATCGAAGACTCCAGCCCCAGCAGCGAAGACCGCGGCGCCAGCGAAGGCTGTGAAACCAGCTGTCAAGGCTGCAGCTCCGGCTGTCAAGGCTGCAGCTCCGGCTGTCAAGGCTGCAGCTCCGGCTGTCAAGACTGCGGCTCCGGTCAAGACCGCAGCCCCGGCTGTAAAGCCCGCGGCTCCGGCAGCTGGTAAGTTTTGCCTCCACGAAAAGGCAATCACCTGTTGCAGCGACTGTCCTACGAGATCATAACGAGATTAACACTGAGGCGAACAGCAAAGAATGCGAAGGTGCCCATCAAAGGCATGGCGGACCTTTCAGTCGGCTCGAAGAAGACGCTGGCTCAGATCCTAGCTGAGAAGAAAAAGAACTCGATGAACAATCCGGTAAACTTGAAGTTTACGCTCACTGAGCAGGAGAAAAAGAGCCCGGTGTGGAAAGCAATCTGTGCTGCCTCCAAACATTCCGAGGAGCTGGAGAAGAAGAAGGTCATCAAGCCTTTTAACTATGTTTTCCCGAAAGGGGCGGTCAAGGCGAGGTGATTGCTCTAGAATATTGAGTGGCATAGTTGCCTGGTGCGTCTATGTCTTCTGAAATTTGTTTTGCAGCTTGAAATAAAAATCCTTGAGGGACTTTTTGGAACCGAGACCAAGCGTGACGTAAGATGACAAGACAGGATGACAGAAGACCGGTCCTACGCACATGGGATCAAGGGGTACCAATCACACGAGTAGTCAATCCATCCCTCTGCCTGCGAAGCTTATCTCAAATGAATTATTGTACAAGAAATGTTGGAAGCAGCCAGTGTTTTTATGTACAATGATTGAGGCAACATATGATAGTGAGAAAGGGGTTCTTGAGGGGCCAGCCTGGGCAACTCCGCTGAACCTTGCTCAAGCCATGCGCATGCCTCACGCTCAACAGACATCCAACGTTGCATCGCCCGTGATGCTGAAGGTAGGGTTCTCAGAGCAGGGCGACTCCCTGACGGTGTTGTCGTTGACCTCCAGGGTAAGGCTGATGTCGCGCGTGATGGCGAACTCGTCCCGGGCCGAGAGACGAACCTCGCCGCCTCCCTGGACGGTGCCGCCCTTGATGGCCACGTTGTAGCAGTTTTCGATAAGAATAGCATTATTCTCGTTGCCCGACAGGTCGACGCTCTCGATGACGGCGCCGCCGGACTCGGACACGCAGAAGATGCCGCGGCCGCCGCCGGTCGAGACGACCTTGTCGATGACCACGTTGGTCTCGTAGTTGCCGTCGCTGAGCATGCCGTTCTGGTTCGCGAATCTGAGGGTTGCGTAGCCTGTGCCCGATCTTTTTTCGTTTTTGTACCTGTTAGTCACCTGTTACAGAGCCTAAAGTATTGCATTCTGGAACATTCCACAACATGAAAGACGGGGGATCCGTAGAAGGACAAGAATGTGCTTACCCGGCATTGTCACCTTGTACGAGGCCAACTTGGGCGTTTGTCGTCTTCTGGAGCAGCAAACCGCACTCGCCAACGTCCTTGGCGATAACACTACCTATCTCCAGCCCGTCGATGTTCCAGGTCTCGACGGCGTGGGACTGTTCTGGTGTTAGCGGGAGGACACTCATGGGGGAGAGAGTGTGGAGCGACTTACGCTAGCCCCTGTCACAGTGATGGTGCCCATCTTCACGTTGGTGTTGGCCGCCTCGTCCCGGTCGAATCGAATACCAATACCGGCAGTGATGGTCATGTCAATCTGGCCAAGGGTCAAGCCGGATACACCGTAGAAGTGCAGACCAAAGTAGACCTCGCCGGCAAGGCTGAGGTAGGGGATGCTGACATCCCGCGTGTTCAGTGATTCCAGTGCTCCCTTTCCGTTGGCAATGGAGGCGGTGATGGTGCCGCAGCCCTCGAAGGTCTTGCCGCTGTCGATGCTGATGGTCTTGGCCCCAATGTTGCCCGAGGAAAGCACGGAGACGGTCTGGCCGGACGAGATTCCGCCGAGAGCCTCTGTGATGGCCGTGTAGTAGTCGCTGCCCGAGTACACCTCGGACGAGCCCACCTTAGCTGTGTAGGCGCCATCCGTGCCGTCCACCGTGGCGTCTGGCGCCGAACCGCACTGGGCGTATGCTGTGGTGGCCAGCACCGATGCTGCTGCGATTTTGGAGAATCTCGTCATGACTGCTGTGTGTGTAGTGAGGCTTCGAGGAATTACAACACAACGAGGACGCGATGTGACGAGAAAATGTTGGTTGAGCGAAAGGATATCCTCATATTCTATTATACATGATTCAGGACGGGACGGTAATGATCCATACACAAATCGGGCAGTCTGGAGCGGGAAGACCCTCCGTCCAAGAGTTTTCTCATTATTGCAGGAGTCTCCATTAGAGTGCGTGCCCAATCGTTTTCTCAGATCTCGCGTTCATCCCAGGTAATGATCCGCCGAACCGGGCGGTTTTTTTTCTGGGGCCGCAGGGCAGACTGCCATTTCGAGGACAGCCCCTCCTTGATTGAGGTGTCGCCGAGCCTTGATCGTCAGGAGCTTCCCTTGGCATGCGGTTGTTTTGTTTTGAAACACGAATCTTCCGCCAGTCATGGCCGGTCTTCGCTTGTGTTAAACAGACCTTTGCGGGATCCTCCCGTCATCAAAGGACACATTGTGGATGGCTCGTACTCGCCAGAAGCTCGTGCGAGCCTGGGCAGACGAGTTTGGACACTATATACATCACTGCCCAGCCCATTTTGAGGCAACGCACATATGATTTTCTATCTAAATCGGTACGATTTGGATGTGCTAAAATTGAAGGGTTGAGTGCACCGAAGAATGTCGTACGTGGTTCTTGAAATGAGTTGAAAGTGTATTGATTTCTATGGGAGTATGACAAGAAAGCGTGCATTCTTACTTTTATCTGAATATACTTAACAGACAGGGCCTACGTCCTCAACACTTTCTAGTAGAATGTCGTCTTCTGTATTATCGCGCCTATAAGCAGTCATAACTCCATCATCTAAGATGCTCACGCGTTTTGTTGCCCCAGGTATAGCCAGTACTTTGCCAACTGCAAGTGGCCACAAACTGTGCCCGAGACTCCGGAGAATGCTGCTCTCTGTCCCACAATCTCAGACTTCGGCCCCTATTGTGGATGGCTTGAAGACTCATGACGAACAGCAGTCGCATCCCTGACTTTGTAACTCTGCGTGACCGCCTCAGATGTCTCTAACTATACGACTTCATTTGGTAGGCTCGTAGAAGCTCTCAGCCAAGCATTTGCGCATCAAAGTCCGCATTCAATGGTCAAACCATCAGGCAGGGACGCCTGTCCCGAGTATCTACATACGTATCAGGCTTTCCCTCAACCGGCAACTTACTTGTCTCACGAGAAGAGTGTTGACGGGTATGATAATCACGATCTATCTGCAACGGCACCACAAGCACACTCGCCTCTTGCGCTCCTGTGCCTGAGGTGGCACCCAGGGTTTCTGGGTCAATCATTGCCCTTTCTGGAGGAGGTCGATAATGGTCTGAAGTGCGGCTGCAGCGCGGGTCAACGGCGAGGTCTCCAGACAATTATGATAGTCGCTCTGTTTCCTGCGGCGTCTCAGAGTCCACTCCAAGGATACGATAACTATCGGAATGACCGCTGAGGTAAATGCGTGGTTGACTGCTAGGTGACCTACATCGCTCGAACTGACTATTCACGTGAGTGGTCGTACATAGCGGCTGACCTGAGTCACGTCCGATTTCCTTCTTGTCAGAAACTGAAGATCAATTGTGGTACAAGGACCATCCTCATCAAGCACTGGTCATGGAGCTCCGAACAGAGATGGGCAAGTTCCTGAGGCCGTGTAGGTTCCCACGCGTGCTGCCCCGATTCTGCACTCGAATCATCGTCGCTCTGCCGGGCCTGTCGGACCTTCTTATAGCGTTTTTGGTCAGACTGGTGAGCCCTCGAAGATGAATAGTGAGATGGGCTTGCACTTTCATCCAATGGTGGCGGCCTGCTGCCTTTCAACTGCTGCCTTGCATCGCTTGAGGCAGTGCGACTTGAGAGACACATACTGACACATACCACACGATCCGTCAGCCGTCAACCAGTCCCCGACGCTGGAGAAGTGCATCTTCAACCAAGTCTCTGCGAGGGAGCCACTTCCTGAGATTTTGTTCCCCGAAGACACAAATAAGCCCTCGACCACGGACGTCGGCGTCGGGAATGGGTGTAAGCACAAAGCGAGATAAATATGAGCTCATATTCATAGACAATATATCTTTCCACCTGATCTACTCATCCAAAAACCATAGCCGATCACAACATTCCAGAGTTGTTCACTTATCCGTTCTCAACCGAGTCTCCTATATCATATCATCAACAAATTCGTCAGTGAGCCTCAGTCTTCATTGGGACCAAGTAATCGAAGCTGACCCATCACAGTCATCACAATGAAGCTGACTACACCAACCTCCTCACGGCTGGACTCGCCGGAGCCAGCGCCGCCTAAAACTTCACTTTCGGCTTCGGGCACGGAGTAGCCAACTACACAGATGGCCACGCCGACAACGCACTCTAGGTCCTCGGCGAGGGCGCTTGCGACTACATCTACTTGGGCGTCTTTGGCGAGTCCATGTGCAAGCTCACCGGTGGCTGGTTCACGGCCCCTGACGGCTGCTCGTACCAGTTCACGGGGTGCGGCACCGGGCTCGGCAACTTCTGTCTCTCGAACGAGGATGGCTCTCTCAAGTCGTGCCCCCTTGTCTGGGACCGCCACGACCGCGAGGGCGATGGCTGTAGCAATGAGTATGGGAGCTACTGGGTCGACCGGTACTTCATCTTCTGGGCGACTTCTTCGGTGATGCCCCAAGGTGATGTCGGCGACTCGGCCTGTGACGGCGAGATGACAATGGCGAGGGGATGCGTTATGAGATGAGATACTTGTCTTCCCTAGGTAGAGGCAGATGAAAAGAGCAGGACTTGGCTATGACGGCACCCGCTGTACGATTTAAGAGTAAACTCGGAATGCATTTGTGTAACTTGCATCTATTGCAACCAGTCGAAGCAAGGCACACCGCGAAAACCAATGGAACAATGATCCTTTGCTGTCGTGCCGTCAAATAGTAACGGTGAGGCGTTCCGTCCAGCACTTTACTGGCCATGGCCCATGGCGGTCTGGACCGAAGATGAATGATACTTGTTCCCCGGGTGTCAGGCCACAAGGTATCACGGGCATTGCTGAGCAGTCTTTTGTGATTGGCTGGGACCGTGTCCCTACAAGGTCCGAGAACCATCAGAAGCCCAACAGCAACGCCAAGGTGGGATTGGAGGTCAACTGGTCGTCGAGAGGACTAGCCTAGGGTGTTTCGATAGAGGTCGCACTCTCCCGTTGGATGCGACAGTTGGCTCAGCTCTGTCGAGTCATGACCTCCTGCTGCTCGACGTTGATTGGATGAGGAGAAGACGACATCTCCACGGCAAAGAGCACGGATGAATGCTTACCTGTATAATTAGGCATTTAAACTTTCTAGGCCAAACCTTGATCTGATGGCTTCCATGTTGCCAAAAGCAAGTCCGCACAATCAACTCCCCTTTCGCAATCGATAAAGTCTGGTACGAAGTCTTGTTTTGCCACGCTCTCCATCTTACAGTAGCAATTATTGAATTTCAAGTAGAGCATCTGCAGGGCGCAGATCTCAAGCTGTGTCAAGCGGGTTTCCCGACTGCTGGCTATCAAACTACCCGGTGCTCTTGTCCTGTGCGTCCTCGTTGCTACCCTACGTGAATCCATTGGGCCTAACCAAAGTAGCCGTGCAGGTGTTCAGACCTTGTTAAAGGGAACGATGGCGACGCTTAAAAATGGCAGAACGTGAACACATTCTCCCCCAGCCGACTCGTAGCTTACCGGATTCTCCTACAAGGGATTGCTTTACCGGCCGAGCATGCATCTAATTCTTCACTGTACTGAACATGGTGGACGCACCGATGCCCTACCAGGCCAGAAGGGGTGATATTCTCCCGTTCCATGCCCCAATATCGCACCCGAAGACAGCACACGGCAACACCTTCATCCTTCTCGCATGCTGTGTGATCACCGCGGCAGTAAGTGACCCTCCAATGAACGGAAGCACACATCACGCCGAGCGCAGAGGCGGGCAAACCTGTAGACTGATAGAATCTGATTCCCAACAGACCCAAGGCTACGATGGCGCAATGATGAGCGGGTTGAACATCATGGCCCAATACACCGACTACTTCCAGCTGACCACCGCCACCCGCTCTCTTAACGTCGCAACCATCTACATCGGCGGATGCATCGCCTGCCTGTTCTGGGGCTGGCTGACGGACAAGTACGGCCGGCGCGTCGCCCTGTTCTGGGCGGCCGTCATCACCATCACGGCGGCGGCCCTACAGGCGGCGGCGCAGAACATCGCCATGTTCTGCACGGCGCGCATAATCATCGGCTTCGGAACGACCGCGTCCGCGATCACGGCGCCCGCCTACCTCGCCGAGACGCTCCCCTGGGACCAGCGGGCCTGGGGGCTGGGGCTGTTCGACGATCTCTTCTACGTAGGCGCCCTGACCGCCGCCGGCGTCTCGTACGGCACGGCGCAGATCGAGGGCTCCTGGGCGTGGCGGCTGCCCAGCCTGCTCCAGGGCGTCTGGGGCATCGCGTGCATCCTGCTCCTCCCGTGGATGCCCGAGAGCCCGAGGTGGCTTGTGGACGTCGGCCGCGGGGACGACGCGCTGACTGTGCTCGCGCGCATCAACTCTGGCGGCGACGAGGAGGACGAGCGGGTTCGGCTCCAATTTATCGAGATCGTCGACACGATTGGGTACGAGAGAAACCCAATGCCGTGGACCCAGATGCTTAAGAATAGGGGCACTAGGAAGAGACTCATCATTACTGGTACCTGTGCGCTCTTCTCAATGGTCATGGGGAATACTCTGGTGACCTACGAGATCGGCAAGGTGTTGGACCATGCCGGGCTCGCGGACCCGAAGCAGCAGCTGCTTGTGAATGTGGGTCTGAACTGCTGCACGTTGATCGTGTCAATCCTGGGCAGTTTCTACACAGACAAGCTTGGAGCCAAATCCGCCGCCTTGGTGTCCACAGGGGGGCTCACCGTCAGTCTATTCGTCATCGGTGCTCTGACCAAGACCTACGGCGACTCGGACTACCAGCCTGGCATTTACGCATCAGTCGCCATGATTTTCGTCTTCAGCGCATGTTTCGGCTTCGGCTGGATACCCATCCTGTTCTTGATACCCGCCGAGATGCTCAACTTCAGCATCCGCGCCTGGGGTATGAGCATGTTCAGCTTCGTTATCTGTGTGACAGGCATCTGGGCCAACTTTGCATTCCTCTTTGCGCTCGAGAACATCGGCTGGAGGCTTTACATCATCAACGGGGCTTGGAACATCGCCATGTTTGCATTCATTGCGTATTACTGGGTCGAAGTCAGGGGCAAGACGCTTGAGGAGATCGACGCGCTGATAGACGGGAAGAAGCACTCGGACGTCCCTGACTTGGAGCTGCTGATACGTGGAGCTGTCGACGCGAGATGGAAGGACAAGTTCGCCGCGTGTCTGACAGCCAGTTGTTTACGGAAGAGGGACGATCAGATTGACAGTCGGTAGCGCTTGGCATGGGTGGTTGACTTTCGTGCCCCAATATGCGAATATTGGTTGAGGCATGAGAACCAGAGGTAGCTCAAAGTTTCTCCCAGAACCTTGTGAATACAGGCTTTCCATGGTAGCCGCTGACGGCGAGTGCGCCTTGTGTGGTTTCAGCCCCGGGAGGCGCACATCAGCCAGATGCAAGCTTTCGCAAGCAAAATCGCTCGAATCTCGGACCAAAAACAAACTTACAAATCAAATGTGATGCCTGGAGTTTACTAATCGGCGTGGGGTGAACAAGCCATATTTCAAACGATGATCATCCCGCCGCTCCCGCTGGTGGTGTTTCGTCTACTCGGGGTGAAATGGCGTGCGAGAGCTCCCATGATCCATGTCTCACGCTTCCTCCTCAGCTGGACGAAATCACACCATCACGCACACACAATCAGACCTGTCACCAAGGTCATGACAATGTTGTGTCTTTTTATACAACTTGCTAAAATGCCCTTGTCTTTCACGAGCCATCCTCACCCCCGAAGCTCGTTTCAAAATCGTTGAAACGCAGCCGTTTGAAGACCAGGGCGCAAATAGAGGCTCCCACACCTGCACCTAGGAAGCAAGGCATACCTTGAAGACAGGATGGGCGATGCGGATGAAGACAGAGAAGCCCTCCCACTTCTCTACTCGCCACCTACACCCACATTCCCAACCGGCGGATACAGCACCGTCAAGCCAGACAGCAGCAGCTCGCCCCAAAGCCTCGACGCCGCCGAGTCCCGAGCCATCGAGAACGATGTCCTCCCCGAGACGTCGACCCTCGGCCGCACGCTGAGCCGCCAGTCCGCCTACATCCTCGTCATCTCGCGCGTGCTGGGGTCCGGCATCTTCGCCACCCCGGGGACCATCATCCGCGCGGTCGGCAGCGTCGGCCTCGCGCTCTCGCTGTGGGTCGTCGGCGCCGTCGTCGCGGCCTGCGGGCTGGCTATCGCGCTCGAGTATGGCTCCATGCTGCCGCGCTCGGGCGGGGAAAAGGTCTATCTCGAGTTCACGTACCGCCGTCCGCGGTTCCTTGCGAGCACGGTAGTTGCCGTCATGGTTGTCTGCCTGGGGTTTACGGCTAGCAATTGTGTTGTGTTCAGCCAGTATGTGTTGTTTGCGGCTGGGGTCGAAGAGCCGGCGGAATGGGCCAGGAAGGGCGTTGCCGTCGGTCTCCTGACGGCGATCACGATCATCCATGGGGTGTTCAGGGCCCTCGGAGTAAAGATACAGAATTTCCTGGGCTGGGTCAAGGTCGGGCTTATCGTCTTTATGATCCTGTCTGGTCTCTATGTCGTCATCCTCCGGCCGCGGGAAGCGGCTCCGGGTGTCTCAACAACCTATGCTGTTGGTGGTTGGGATGACCTGTGGCGAGGATCGAACTGGAACTGGGGCGTTGTCTCGACATCGCTCTTCCAAGTCTTCTACTCCTACGCCGGTCTCGAGAACGCCAACAATGTTTTGAACGAGGTCAAGGACCCGGTGCGGACATTGCGATTTGTGTCCATCTCAGCGCTTGTGACGGCTTGCGTGCTCTATCTCCTGACCAACGTGGCTTACTTCATAGTTGTACCTGTGGAAGAGATCAAGGCCAGCGGTGAGCTGGTGGCTGCATTGTTCTTCGAGCGGGTCTTCGGGGGAGATGTTGGTGGCAAGATCTTGCCCCTGGCTGTAGCTTTGTCCGCTGCTGGCAATGTCTTCGTCGTCGCGTTTGCGATGGTAGGTGATTCCTATTTGTCCACAGTGCTTTGGCGCTCAGAACTGAATGAAGCCCATCTAGTCACGGGTCAAGCAGGAAATTGCCCGGCAGGGCTTCCTCCCCTTCTCCGAAATTCTATCCTCGGCCAAGCCCTTCGGATCTCCTCTTGGTGGTCTCTGTGTACATTACATCCCCTCATTTCTTGTGATTACACTGCCGCCGTCCAACGAGGTATATTCCTTCATTCTCAAGGTCGAAGGATACCCAGGCCAGGTCGTTGCAATAGCTACAGCAGCTGGTCTCCTGTGGCTTCGATACGAGAGGCCGGACCTCAAGCGCCCGTTCAAGGCATGGGTCCCGGCCGTGGCACTCCGCATAGCCCTGAGTCTGGCTCTACTTGCGGCGCCTTTCTTCCCACCGGCCAAGAAGCCAGAGTCTGGGCTCTTCTACGCTACTTACGCAGCTGTGGGAATTTCAGTGTAAGCATTTCGAGAATGTGGCTCATGCAAGATTCCATCGCACTGACAAATCCACAGGCTCGTGTTAGCAACTGTATACTGGTACTTGTGGACTGTTTTGGTACCGAAGTGGAGAGGCTACATACTAGAGGAGAAGGCTGAAGTCCTTGAAGACGGGACAACAATCACCAAGCTGGTCCATAACCCTATCTCATCGAGTGGCACATGAATAGCGGTGGAAAAAGACAAAACAATTTTCACCGCTAAATCGTATCTCTCTCACTGGGGCGATAAAGAGACAGGGAATGGATTAGGTTGACTACAGCACTAAAAGTGTGGAACCGGGCACATGAGACTGACCGATCTGGCTGCGGCTTAAAGCACCGCGGGGAGCTTCGTGAGGAAGGCTTGGTATGAAGTCATAGCTGGGTAAGGAAGATGTGACCGGTTCGAGGGAGTGAGCGGCCGTGAGACTGGATGACGGCATGGACGGGTGACTTTTTGGGCTGTTCTGACATCGAAACCTCGTGTGTGCCTGTGTGTTATCTCTGACACACAGACCTCCTTGGCTGCGAAGCTGAGTGTGGCTCAGGGGCTGCACTTACGTAAGGTGTGGCTGGGGAGAATGGGGCAGCTTCGCGGCCAAGGAGGTTTGTGTCTAAGCTGCAGCGCTTATAAGGACCAAGGTACGCCCCAACACAACCATTCGCCCTTTTAAATTTAAACTCCAATTTCTTTCTTATAAATTTTTTTTTAGCCATGTAAGTACCTTTCCAAGATTCAGGAGCTCTCACTAATCTATTTCTCCTAGGTTGCACCTTTCTTGCATAGAAATCAAGAGATTGGGATTTAAAAATCTCTAAAAAAAACGTTGAGATACTTTCTCATCTTGCTTCATTCTTTTAAGTTTGGAAGACACTTTAAAAGAAGTTTAAGTTTCAGAGATCACTATAAATTATGCTATTAAATTTGGAAAATCTTAACTCCTTTGGTTTATAAGTTGGATATAGGCAATTAAGGGTAAGGGGGGCGCTCCCTGGTTCCCTTTTTTGATTGGGTATGCTGCATTTTATGAAACGGAGGTATATTGGGATAAAAAAAATATAAGGAGGAAGCTTGGTTATTTCTCTCATTTAACATCTTATTTATATTGGGATTGCTAGTTGGGAAGAATGTATAATTGAGGAGTGTTTAAAGGGCGTTCTCTTGGTTCCCATACAAAATGGTACCTAGGTTCCGATTTTTTTGCGTTTTGGTTTCAGATGTCCTTCTCACGCGTTTAAACCTACCTGTTCTGCACTGCCAGCACAGCCACCCAGATTACTAAGAAAGCTCGGGCCATAAGAACTGGCTGATTAATTTGAACAGTGTGAGAATGGGCACCTGAACTTTTGAGATAACCTGTGTGCGCGCCGCGTGCCGCGTACCGCGCCAAGCGCCGAGACCTGATCCTGCCGATTTCAGTGTGATGAAATCGTCGGCTTGCCCAGCCTTTTTACTCCAATCCTCAGTGACGGGGCTCCCGCCGCCGAGACGCGTCTCGCTTGGCCGTGGTGCCGATCATCACCCGAGTACCGCTCATATCGCCTTGGCCGCATCCAGATGTCTTGAGGTTGGCTGGTAAACAGGCTGTGGTGGACACCTCGTTTCCATGTGACTCAAAATTTTTATCTCGCTGTTTTTCGTTGGTTCCTTCGTTTGATGTTCTTGCGCCAGCGGGGAGAAAGAGAAGAAAATTGAGAAAGAGGCTTGGACGACGTGTCATACTGAAGATCTGAGGCCGGTTGGGAATTTGGGCGATATGTGCACTCTCACGCCGCGATTGCTCTCATTCAACTGCACGCGACTTGACCTTTCTTCGGCGTAATGACTTATCCTGTGCCAAGTATTCCCACGATTCCTTCAACACCGATCGATGCCAGCTGGAGTGCCTAGACGGAGGAGTTTGCAGTATGAAGGGATTGCCTCATTCCAATGCGATCGTCAAGTCTTCTGTTACCAGCCTGCTGAGAACCGAAAGCCCCAACCAATCTCAAACTCACCACCCTGAGTGACCAAATACATTCTTCAGCACTTTGTGCTTGCTGCTGACAGCAACTAGGTAGACTTACGGGAAGAAGAGGAGGTTCAAGGCTTCTGACACCGACAGCAGCAAGCGAAGAACAATAGCCAACACTCGGCTGAGGAAATCTGTAAACGACATCAGGTTCGAGTCTGAAATCCGAGGAAAGGATACTGAGGTGGGCGGGGGTGAAGATGACTTTATACCACTTCATGTCGGTCTGGGAATTCACTTCATGTCACACACGCACTTGTAGACTTTTGCTTCCCTCAAGACTCATTTGATACCCTCCGATATCTCCGACTTTTCTGCCTTTAAACTTTGTGCAGTTGGGTAAATGCTGCACGCTGCATGTAGGTGCACAGCCTGGCCACTGTACAGATGTGCCCCTGTGCATCTCCAGACTCTGGATTTCTTGGAAGCTCCACTCCTCCACGTCTACCTGAGTATCACTGGCACTGCAGGGTATTAGCCCAACATTCTTACGTCAATGTCATCGGACCGAGCAGACGGACATGATCTATTTGGACCCACAATATGTCTGTTGGCTTGCCATCTGGGGAAAGCCGACGTCCAGAGACAGAGCCTTTATAAACAATGTTCGTCCGTTCTGGACTCTATCTGAGTACTCACCTCTCCTCCTCCATTTTTCTTCCCCGGATCAACATAGCTTCCCCATACTTGTTCCCCACGACTTGCAGGCTTAGTCAACATTGCATGTTACCCAGCTTTGGCGCAACAGAATGCCTCCCGCCAATATAGACATCGAGTCTCCTCCTGACGAGGGCGCCCGCGAAGGCACTCGCACTTCGGGGAGCGATGAAGGCCCCACTTCGGACAAGGCCGCCCGAGCCTCCACGGCCGCCTTGTTGCGCAACCCCCTTCTAGGGTATACTCATAGCGAGCTCATGGCAGACGTGGACGCCTTCACGGAGAAGTACGGACTGAATGAGCACCGAGATTCTTTCCGCAAAGGGGCGTTGGTCGCTCAAGCCAGCACCCGTCCTGACGGCTTTGAAGCCATTGCCGAGCTGACAGAGGAAGAGAAGGCGGTGCTCAGAAAAGAAGTCACACATCGTTGGGACCAGCCATTCATGCTGTACTTCCTCGGACTGCTATGTGCGGGCTCGGCAATAGTCCAGATATGTCACGCTTTCCCTGATATTTCGATGGTCTTAGCTAACAAACGCAGCACGGTATGGACCAGACTGCGGTCAATGGTGCTCAGGTACGCCAGTCATGCAATGTCATGCCCAGAGACGGTGGCTAACAAATTGACCTAGGAATACTACTACAAAACATTTAACATTGAGGACGAATTAATTCAAGGTTCCTTACTCTATCAGTGGCCCGGCGGGAAAACATTTCTAACAGCTGAATAGGTCTCCTCAATGGTGCACCCTACGCATTCTCGGCCCTTTTCGGCTGCTGGACTTCGCCGTTTTTGAACAAATGGACAGGCCGCCGTGGCACCATCTTCATCTCGTGCTTCTTCTCCGTGGTGACTGGATTTTGGATGGCGGCAGCGGACTCGTACGTCTACGTATCTTCTCAATTGATCTTCTCCAGGCTGACCAGGAACACCAGGTGGTACAATCTCTTGATTGCACGGTTCGGCCTTGGCCTTGCTGTCGGCGCAAAGAGCAGCACAACACCAGGTACGAGACAAACCCAAAATGGTTCCCTCAATACTAACGATGTGTATTAGTTTACTCGGCAGAATCGGCACCGAAGGCCATTCGCGGGGCTTTGACAATGATGTGGCAAATGTGGACAGGTGTGTTTCGCTGTTGTTTTCTGGCGCGTCCTGCTCCCCAGCCAGATGGAAATCCAAACGCTTCAGTCTCAAGGGCGATACTAACGGCTAGTAGCTTTTGGAATCGCACTGGGACTTATAGTCTCGGTGGCCTTTCGCAACACCGACTTCCTTGGAGAAGACTCGCAGTGGAGGTGGATGCTAGCAAGCACCTCAGTGCCGCCCTTGATCGTTATGGTGCAGGTAAGGCGGCCTCACATGAAACATTGTCCCCTGTCCTGTGTAGATTCTGAGTCATCTGATCCATTGCGCAGGTCTACTTCTGCCCAGAAAGCCCACGGTGGTACATGGAGAAAGGCAAGTACACAAAAGCTTTCCGCTCAGTCAGCCGACTGCGTCGCCACACGATCCAAGCCACAAGAGACATGTATTATGCCCATAAGCTCCTCGAGGTCGAGACCCAAGCAAGGAGCGGTCATAGCTGGAAAGAATTCTTCACCGTCCGGAGAAACAGGCGTGCCGCTACTTACTCATATTTTGTCATGTTCATGCAACAGTTTTGCGGGATCAATGTCGTGTAAGTTGTTCCCGCCCACACACATGTACCGGAGGGAACGGGGAGGCCAGCCGTTGGGAGAATGACTTTTGTTGCCCAGGACCCCACGACAGATTCACTAACACGTAGTCAAGGATGTACTACTCGACAGCTATCTTCGAACAGTCCGGCTTCGAGCGGTCTGAGGCGTTGCTGACGAGTATGGGCATGGGCCTGATCAACTGCTCTTTGCCCTGCCCGCGTTCTACACGATCGACACATTTGGCCGCAGGAACCTGTTGCTGGTCACGTTCCCCCTGATGGCACTCGCCTTGACCTTCACCGCCTTCAGCTTCTACATCCCCGAGGGAACGGGGAGGCTGGCCTGCGTCGCAACCGGCATCTACCTCTTCGCGGCCGTCTACTCGCCAGGCGCCGGGCCCGTGCCCTTCACCTACTGCGCAGAGGCGTTCCCGCTCCACATCCGCGACATCGGCATGAGCAGCGCCACCGCGGTGACGTGGGGCTTCAACTTCATCATCAGCTTCACGTGGCCCCGCCTGATGTCGAGTTTCACGCCGACGGGGGCGTTCATGTGGTACGCCGGCTGGAACGTCTTCGGGTTTGTGGTCGCCTACTTCTTCCTCCCCGAGACCAAGAGCCTCACGCTTGAGGAGCTGGACACCGTCTTTGCCGTCCGGAACCGTGATCACGCCCAGTACTATGCGAAGAAGGCACCGTGGTACGCGAATAAGTATCTGCTGCGCCGGGATGTCGCTCCGTTTCCCGAACTTTATGAGGTTGATGACCACCACGATGGCCCCCAAGAGACACAGGAGAAGGCAGTGGCGCAACAAGCAGAGCGTGATGCGGTGTCGGATGATTTTAGCAAGAAGGAGGTTTGAATGGACAGGCTGGAAAGCAAGCCACGATACTTGTGGATGTGCTGTGGGGCGGTACACCCTCGAAGGTTTACAAATCACATACCTAGATCGGAGCGTTGATTGTTAGGTGGTGAAGGAGGACTCTGTCATATGCGAGGTGGACATGATTGCTCATGTGAATGACGCTATTTACGCGTTTAATTATTGGTGCAACCGAAGGAGGACGATATCATGATATGATGCAGTTGTATCCCTTAGTTCGAACGGTCTCATTCAACAATCTTGATATACGTGTAGCAAGACGAAGCAGGACATTGCCTCTGAGGGTGCAGCCGGATGACAAAGTACAATTCGACGGCGCACTGCAGCGTTTGGTCACAAGTCGATGTTTTCCAGCCAGCATTTCTAGATATCTAGCATTCCCTCGGAATATATTGTGGATACTTGGGCTCTTAGACACTCTTATTCTCAAGACCAAGCTGATCCACAATCTAAACAGCGATCGGGCGGCTCGGTAGGACCGAAACCGTGAGTTGATACACTTGGACAAGGCCAAGCAATCATCGTAGCTCCATTCGACTGGGCCTCTCTTGTTTACGTGGTTACTTCGAGCGGCTTCGACCTGCCGAGGCTCATTACTTTCGGCCGAGGAGACGGAAATGCTTGTAGTTAAGGTTTGGCACATGTGCGCCAGGCTATTTGCGACCTCTTCCTACCAGCAATGCTCCATGACAGCAGTAAGTCCTGCGGGACGGAAAGAAGTTGGATTTGTCAAGCGACCGCTGGTGGGCTGTTGGGTGCATCCGTCATTGTCTCACTGGTCGAAAGGCGGCACGCGGCCTGGGCACACTCGTGGCACATTGGACTTCTATTTCTAATCACCCCGACGGGCCCGCCCGCATGCGACTGTGGAGGAGTGCATCGAGCTTGAAACATCCCCCAGGTTTGCCAGTGCCATGTATTATAAATCTCGATGCTAGAGTATATTGCGTGCTCCTGTGGAGAGATTGGGTAGTGTCAGCCACGCACGGCTCAATTGATACTCAAAAGTCGCCGGCCTGAGTATTTCAAGTAGGCTGACCCGCCTGCAACAGTCTCAGGGATAACTTAAAGCATCAAATACTATACACCTCTCATAGTACCCTAGCAAACGTCTAAACATCCAAGTGAATATGGCAGCCGCGGCGGTTCAACAGATCACCACAAACGTTGGGCTCGGGTCTGCCGACCAAGGCAAGCTGCAAACCCAGCTCGGCAGCGCACCCAAGCCGACATCTCTGAAGCCTCATGACGTCAACACGATCTTGAATTATTACAAAGAGAACGAGGACGGGTCTCCGCCCCACCCTACCTATGTTGACAGGCCGGAGACATATGATCGGCCAGTAGAGAGCCACTCTGTCACTGTCCGCGATGTCAATGGACACCAGGACGAATACTCTCTCGACGGCAATGGGTTCCAGTTCCACAGCCACACTGCCAACGAGAAAGATTTCCTGGATGACGAGCAGATCAAGCAAGGCTACTACAAGGAGACCGAGCAGCTGCTCAAGGACGTGTAAGTGCCGAGACAGACCCACACACATGCATCAACCCACATGCACTCACACCTTACCCTTGACTGACCAACCTCTCCACCACAGAACCGGCGCAACACGTGTCTTCATATTTGACCACACCATCCGCCGCCAGCTGCCCTCCGACGGCAACGCCCAGGCCGCCCGCCGGGGCCCAGTCCAGCGCGTGCACATAGACCAGTCCTACTCGGCCTCGCTCTCGCGGGTCCCGCACCACCTCCCAGGCGAGGCGGACCAGCTGCTCAAGGGCCGGGTGCAGATCATCAACGTGTGGCGGCCCATCTCGACCGTCCTCCGGGACCCCCTCGCCGTCGCGGACGCGCACTCCGTCCCGGACTCGGACCTCGTCCCCACGGGCCTGATCTACACCAAGCCCAAGCCCCGGAGGGGCGAGACGCTGCAGGTCAGGCACAACGACGCGCACCGCTGGTATTATAAGAGCGGCCTGACGCCGGAGGAGGTGCTGCTGATCAAGTGCTTTGATACCAAGACGGATGGGCGGGCGAGGCGGGTCCCGCACACGGCGTTTGTGGACCCGGACACTGACCGGGAGGACGTGCCGACCCGGGAGAGCATCGAGGTTAGGGCATTGGTGTTCCATGAGAATGACACGGCCTAAAGGAGATTGATGCACAATCAGCTGCCACGGCGTTTCATCATCAGTGTGTGTCAGGGCCAACTTTGTTGCCTTCGGGCATTTGGTCAATTTGAAACCCACAGGAGAGTATCCCACGACAGGCCATTCATCCCATGGCAAGTCATCCCGTAGCAGGTTATCCCATGGATGTTACATGGACAAGGAGTAGCAGGCAGGAGCTCACAGATTGCATGATCACGGTCTAGTTAACTCTCGATGCCGTCGTATTTACCCTTTGACGTATTCAGAAGCATGGGGTTGCCTCACAAAGTACCTAAACGTGTATGTCCCCCATTTCTCCTCACCCGGCGGCGGCTTCAGCTCCATCTTTCCAGCCCACTCGTCCAGGTCAATCTCAAGCGTCTCGTCGACCTCGAACCCACACTTGGGGAACATACCAGCCCCAGCCTCGCTCGAGTGGACCCAGCATATCACGCCCTCGGCATCCGCGCGTTCAGTGCCCTTCCGAACCAGGGCGCGGCCGATGCCTTTACCCTGGTGCTCGGGGTGCACCTGGATGCCGGCGATGAACATGCACCGTGTCCCCGGCGGCATGATCCTCCTCATGAACTGGGCGAAGTGGTCGTCAGTGATCTCGCGCAGCTGCTCCAGGGGGTCGAGGTCCGCGGACCCGGTCTTGGCGTAGTCCGACGAGACCGAGTTGGCAGGAGGCTTGGTGGGCTCTGGGGGGTTCTCTGCCGCGCCCGCGGCGCTGGGGTCCCTGTCGAAGCCCCGGAATACCCAGCCGACACTGCCTACGATCTGGCCCGTTGCGTTGTCGACTGCCTTGGTGACTTCTACCTTCTGCGGCAAGCTGAGCCAGTGCCTGATGGAGTCCGGTGTCCCGCCCGCGTGGTCGTACGGTTTGGTCGGATGGGCTGCTTTGAGCTGCGTGTGCCTGTCTGTCTCAAAGGTCAGGCCGGAAATTGCAGTGAGCTCCGGAATGTCTTCTTCGACGACTGGCTGCAACGAAAATAAAGTGGCATTTGGGGATGTCATGGTGGAAAAGTCAAATTCTATTGGTATGCGCTGTCTGAATTGACATGTCTGTGTTCTTACGAACGCGGAAAAAGCGGAAACGGTTTTGTCTTTTAGAGTGACTGTTAATGACAGGCACTCTGTTTGTCTGAGATACCAGTAGTGAGTAATGCTTCCGTGGGATTGGCAGATATGTTACGGCCGATCAACAGAGATAGTCAAAAGCAGCTCGCCGGATGACTGTTGACCGGGTTGAAACCCGCAGACGCACTAGGCTCGATGAAGCCAAGTCTATATGCACAGCTCTACCACTTGCGCCGTCGAAGGATTGAGTATACCGGACGTACCGTGACACAGTCTGAAGCCGCAAGATATCTTGGTCCACGTCGCGAATGCCGTCCACGTCATGGCAAAGGCCGAGGCAGGGAGGGACGAACAAGGTTAGGTTCTGGTCCATATGGCCTGCTCCTAGTGACCCTGCTCCTGCTCGTGGTCTTTGTTGTCTCCAGCACCGAAGGGAGTCGTGGCAACAACGGAAGCCGTTGAGTAGATGAACTCGACAGCATGTTTCAGGTCGGTGTTGATGATTCTCCGAAGACGCTCTATCTCCGCTACAAAAACAGCGGCAACCGAGAGCTTAGGTCGTCACCGCGAGCGGATGTGGAAAGAAGTCCTCTTCCAGTCAGCCCCGTCACACCAGAGCACATGTCTGCATGCCTTCATGTCCTCTGAGGCATCGTGCGAGCGAAGGACAAGGGGCTGCATGTCGGCTAACTTGATGATCTCAACGACGTTTCTGAGGCAGGAATCAACGGGATGCGATGAGTAGGACCGAATCACCCTTCGCGACACACAAGGTTATCATGACAGCGAGCTTTCGGCCCAAAACCCTGCCCGCATGTGCAATTGATCAGACGCTGCTCATAATTCTACATGGCAACATGCTGATCTGCCGAACTTCAAAATGAGAATACTACACAGTTTGTGGGGAGCTGGGCAATCATATTGTGTTGCGACTATCTAAAAAAGAAAAATACGGAGATTCGCACCTGCAAAAAAGGAGGGTACACCGGTATATCACCACCTCACCCAAAACCCTCACCCAAAACCCACACTCATACACCCAGCTCCCATACGCCAAACACCCATACACTAACACTTACACACCTAACACTTATACACCCAACACCCACACCCATACCCACACCCACACTTAACACCTAATCCCCATATACTCAACTTTTATACACCTAATTTATATACCTGATTTAACTTAGGTGTACAGGTGTTGGGTATAGGTAAACTAATTAGGCCTGGGTAATATGCTTTAATTAGCTATGGATATGGTATGAGTTGATGTACCAGTGTACCCTCTATTTTTGCAGGTGCGAATCTCTGTATTCATAAAGAAAGGAAGGAGGAGGCCAGAAGGTCTGAAATCTGGGCTATAAACACTCAACGGAGTGGCCCGTGACTGGAACGGTGAATGTGGGTATTCTCTACAGTTTATTCAACGTCCTACATGTCATTCGGTCAAAGCTCGAGACTCGACTTGTGGATGTACAGGTGACATTAAGTTTAAGGTATCCCACCAGGACGTAGCAGCATGAATATTCACCCCCTCAACATTAAAATCATTTCTCAAGAGACAATGTTCCCGTTACCCGTTGCCACTCACTTTCCGTATACTTCCACAACTTGTCTGCCGTCCCGTCTCTTCTGTAATTTGCAAGGAGCTCCTCGACTTTCGCATCAGCACTCTCGCCATACGTGTCCACGGAGTAAACACCGCCTCCGACACTTCCATCTACACCGTTCGCAACGCTCACCCCCTCAGGCAATTTGGCTCCCACTGCCCCTGGCTCATCTGCCGGCTTCTTGGATGGAAAGCGCGCACTCGTGCAGTAGAACGTGTGCCTCTCTCCAACCTCCACAATCGGCGTGTGACCAGTGACGAAGAACAGGGCCTTGGAGACCAAGGCCACAGTCCTCAAGATGGCACCGTCATCACTCCTGATGATGTTTGTCTTGACCTTTCCAGGAAACGCGTGCACGAACGACACATCCGGGGCTTCCTTCGCCAGCGTCTCCAGGCCTAACGTCATCATCGTGGCCCCATGGCCCCGTGCGGCTGTGAACGGGACCTTGCCTTCCTTGCCCTGCCAGTCGTCGTCGTAGGCTCTGCCCTCCTTGGCGCCTGTGAAGGAGGAGACGACGCGCCGGAGGCCTGTGGCTCGTTGCAGCAGGGGCAGCAAGTTCCTGGCCATTCGCATGCGCCCGAAATAGGTCAGGCTCATGAGGTAGCTCATGCCTTCTTCGGTCTCTGCGGACATGTAAGTCGTATTATCAACAGCGGGCACATGAAAGAAAGAGTACTTGTCTCACGCTTGCTGAAGTTCAGTGTCCCTTGGCTCATAAACAGCACGTTGATGGCCGATTCCCTATCTCTGATCTGCCTGCACACGTCATCGACATTGCGCAGCAGGCTGACGTCCGACCTGATGAAGGTATAATTGCCCTCCGGATTGACACTTTTCAGGTCTGCATCCAGACGGTCGCACGCTTCTTGCGAACGTCCGACAATGTAGATGCGAGGCTTGGATGTGTGTCTTGCGAACTCCCGGAGTGAGGTCTCACCGATGCCCGCCGTCGCGCCGGCAAACACAGCGACGAGCCCTGCTGGGTATGTCGTGGCGATTTGGGCATTTGATTTCTGCACATTGTCTAGGGCGACCATGTTGGAATGCTTCAAACCGATTAAACCGATTGTTTACAATCACTAGAGAATGTGTAAAAGTGTTTTGGCGGTTTTTTAGTCACCGGGAAGGGAAGATAGACTCGCAATATTAAGAAGACTTCTCGGGACCGTTTCTCCAAAGTCTGCTTTTCCCATCTTATGCTGAAGCCCTAGTACCAAGCCGTCGGGGGATTGGATTGCGCCGAGAACCAAATGGGTGAATACGAAAGGAGGCTAGCGTGGGATGTAGTGCAACCATGCACGCCAACCAGTCTATATTAAACTATCCGCTCATGACCCTAATACTCAAGTTGTCGAGGATGTGGCGTGCAGCTTGAGCTCTGGGAATGAAGGCTCGAGCATACTAGCCAGTTTGAAGCTATCCCAAACCCCTTGGCGCATGCGTGCCGAACGGAGGATATCCAGGGCCCGTCTCCGATGCTTATCGTCAGTGCTGTAGCAACAGACAAACGATGTCGATGACATAATGTTGCTCTCGAGAGTGAAGATCGGATGCTCCGAGGCGAAGGACCGGACTACAAGCTCAGCCTGGTCCAGAACGATATCAGCCTGCGTTGAGTCCCCGTCCGGGACCTCGTCGAGCATGGTCTCCCACACGCGCTGCCGCAGCACGAGCATCATGATTTCCCGGCGCTCTCGCTTCGTCAGGCCTCTCTTTTCAGCTTCTTCGACCGTCCTGTTGAATCGCCGCCGCCAACATCTGAATCTGCTGAGGATATGTTCCAGCTCTAGTTCTTGGAGAGGGCCGTGATGCGAGCCATCTGACGAAACAGGAGTACGCTGTTCGGAACCGTCAACAGGGGCAGGTGATTGAGAGTGTCCTCCCACACTCAGGTCCAGCTGGCCATTCCTGGCTAGAACAAAGCTTTTGTTGTTATGGATGCCAAGGTCGACGTCTATGTCCGAGAGCGACTTTCGAGCGAGGGTGAAATCTGGAAACGGTTGCAACGGGTCGTCTGGGGTATTTGAAACCGGCGTCATGTATGGCCGGAGGTTAGGCACGACCTCGTCTTCGCTGTACAATGACGCCTCAACGCCTAGGCGTGCGAAGAGGTTGGAGATTTCCGTTATTGCATCGTCGCTGTTGCTGCCTGATCCCCGACTCTCGGCAAAGGCATGGGGCGGAAAAGAAAGGACCAGCCGTGAACCGGCCCGTAGGTGCTGTATAATACATTGTAGGTACCTCAGCGGACCCGCCAGATCTCTGGGGTCGGCAAACCCTACTGGCTGCATCGTAAAAGTCAATAGGGGTGTTTCGCACGCACGCCACACAGACTAGAGTGGGCCGGCCTTGTTTGAACAAGCGATCAGACACTGCTAAGGCTATGTCATGTCATTGGATTAACGATAATGGATCTGGCACAGATACATGGCTTTAGAGTGTGTAAGATGACAAGAAGGGGGAATTGATTGATTCATGAAACGGGTGGAGAAGGGAGAGATGTGGCTGAATGATACAGATAGATGGGATGACCTGAACTTGTAGGTTTATATCGGCATCTTTTGTATATCAAAGGGGCAGAGACCGCAGTTTCCATCGTTGCCAGTGAGGTATAACTTCGGAATGCTCCTCTTCTTCGGACGGTAGGAGACAGAAAAAGACAACTGCAAGTCGAGAAGAGCCGTTGTATCTTGCATTCTCCACACTAAGTAGACAACTGAGCAATGTTGACGGTAAATTGCATGAGGCTGATAATTCCTTCACCCGGCGAATCAGACAGCCTACTCCGTATTCACTGGTCGGGATCCCCAGCAGCTTGGACAATGAGGCTGAGCCAGGGAGACAACACCCCACATCGGTGCCTGCCAATGCTGTCATATTGGGATTCTCAATGGGCCCATAACCAATCTGGCCCATAAATGCCCCATAAAAGAGTACTATGTTGACGGATATGGATGTCTATGCTCATCGTAAGCCTCGGCGGCTCGCGCCTGTCTGCCGGTAGAAAGGAGTTCAACTCGGTGGAATCAATATTCATCTGACAGGCGGGCTGTCCGAGACGTATTCTTTGATGGCCTCCTTGCTTTCCATCACGGTATGTATTTAAGGCACCTCAACCTAGTCCCAGCCCATTGTTTTGCTTCAACTTGGAAACCCCATCTGCCAGAGGTCAATATCACCACGGTACATTGATCAGCAAGGCGTCTCCGAATTCTGTTTCAATATTTCAAAGCCAGTTGCGGTCCTCGTCACCTTGAAGCCGAGATGAAGCTTGCAATCCTCCGCCTCCTCGCCGTTGCGGCGCCTCTACTGCCACACAGCACCTGCATGTTGACACCGGATGACATACCGGACAAATGGAAGTCTTCGGTCTCGCAGGTCAAGTTCAATGTCACCGGTTGGGCGGTCAGCGATGCCGCTCTGTTGCATGGCTCAACCGACGACTTCAAGGTTTATACAGACTTCACCGACGATGATGCCAACCTACAACCCTGGCTGCTCTCGCCACGAACACCCAGATGGCGACTATAGCGGGTGCGACGAAGGCGCCAGCAACCGGTTCCACCAGTTCTCCCTGCTTGACCCCATCGGCTTCGGAAATATGACTATGGCCTCGGCCACCGGCTTCGGGTTCTTCGTTGGCTACGATGGTTGGAAAAACGTAGGCAGCAAGGTGCCGGACTGGCCCCTCTTGCTCCACGAAACAGTTGGTTTCCCATTCAAGTTTATCAGGCAGGGAAGAGGTGCAACCTGGTAGCTGACTTTCACCTCCAGGGACACACTTTTGGCTTCCCGGACTACCTGGACGACGGCTCTCGGAACCACACCGTGTGCTCTAACCTCTGGCTCCCGCCCAACGCCCCAGCCGAATTCGTGATGAAGCCAGGCGACTATGGCGCCCATGTCCATCACATCACGGAGATTGAAAGTTGGATGATTCGCTATTGGTGGTCCAGGTTCTCGAGGACTCGGGGCTGGCAGCACGATGACACGACTTACGGCCCTCCACCAAACTGTGCTTCGGACGAGTAGATGGTTGGGATCGGATTCTATGTGATACAGCCCTGTTGACAACACCAACTTTTTCATATGTCGACAGGACTTCCAAGTTGATGCAACAGACTTAAAGCTTGCCTTTGATTGATATATATAGCACTTCGGCTTTCGCTAGAGCCTCACCGTTCCCGTCCTCGATCTGTGCCCGAACCCAGTGCTTCCTCCCTTCCACCTTTGCGATCCAAGACCTCACAAGGACGGTCGCCGGTGTTGGGACCGGCCTCACAAACGAGGTGTTGATGTAGGCCGTCCGGAATGATTTGTCCAACTCCGTGCCAGGGACATGGCCGTTCAGCACAATGTGGAGTCCGGCAACCTCGTCGAAGATCACAGACACCATGCCACCGTGGAGGGATCCCGGAAACCCTGTCACTCCATCCTCGAGAGCAACCAGGGCGTTCAAATTCTCTATGCCGGATTCCCCCGTCTCTTGCCGCTTGTGGAAAAGTAGCCAGTGTGATATCGTGCTGTTTGAGTTGATTGTGGACGCTATAAATTGATTTTCCAGGCCCGGAAGCACCGTCCTGTTCGGGGACACTTGCACGATAAGAGACCCGTCATCCTGCAGTAGCCTTGCGCACCATGGTATGGACTTGAAATGTGTGATTGCTTCGACGGCTCCCGGGTCCATGGATGATCAGATGTGTGAGTTTAACCGGCTGGATTGGAGGCGAGGGAGCACTGGGTATGAGAACTTCGGCGCGCAATTGGGCTCATGCCTGGGTATGTTAACTGTGACGAGGTTCCCCAGATTGCTGGCCTAGTCGTGGCCTCACGGTTTTTGTGTCACACGTACGTACGACTCAGGTAATCAGTCCACAGGGATCTTGAGTCCCTGCTCAAGTGGTTGTGTTTCGTGAACGTAATTTCGTGTCTATCGGCGGACACCCCGGAAACCTTAATTCATCGACGCAACTGACTCGGGGGGCCACCAAAATCATGCTCACAGCTTCGCTCCTCGTTTCTGAGCCAGTTTGTGCTCTTCACGCCACGCCAAGTCGTTCAGAATCTCTTCGCTCCCGCCGCCAATGACCTTTAGTCGTAGATCGCGAGTTGCCTGCTCCGTGAAAGTGACCCCCTTTTCGAAGCCTCTTCCCCCGAGGACCTGTTGGCTTTCTCTGGCCGCAAGCTCCACGACCCTGGCACCGTGTATCTTCACCAGCGCGACGACTCCACCGAGCTCCTTTGCCTGCCATCCACGCTTGCTCACGTGGTAGATGATCTGTTCCAGCCAGGCCCAGTGTGCATCTACCTCCCTCGCCAGTGTTGCCAGCTTACTGCGGATGATCTGATGTGATGCTAGAGGCTGGCCGAAAGTCTCGCGCTCGTGGGCATACGCCAATGCCTCGCTCAGGCACATCCTCGCCTGTCTGTTGCAGTCCACAGCCAGGACAATGCGCTCTTTGTTGAAATTCGACATGATGATGGGGAAGCCCGCGTTTTCCGTTCCCAGCAAGTTCTCAGCCGGCACCGTCACATCTTCTAGATAGACCCATGAGGATCCGCCGGCGTTATGACCCGAGTTGTGTATCTTCTTCTGGGACACGCCCTCTGCATCCATCGCTATCACCAGAAGAGATATTCCTTTCATCCCAGGAGCATCTCCGGTGCGTACAGCAGCGACCATGTGCGTCGCCCAGGGCGCGCCGGTCACCCACTTCTTATGGCCCGAAACAACGTATGCCTTCCCATCAGCAGTTTTGCGCGCCTTAGTCCGTACGGCACTCACGTCGCTGCCAGCGGTGGCCTCCGTGATGCCCAGGCAGAAGCTGGTGCTCCAGTCAAACAGGCCGGGCAGCCAGCGGCGCTTCTGCTCCTCCGTGCCCGCCGCGATGATGGGCGGAGCACCCACGACAGAGGCGCCAGCGAGGGCCAGGGCCACGCCGCTGGGCAGCCTCGAGATCTCGTCCCAGAGGATGAGCTGGTGGAAGGCATCTATCTGGTCGTACGGTATGCCCGCGACGGTAAGCAGGTGTTTGGGACGGTACTCCCCAGGCACATCCAGGAAAGCGAGCCCGGACTGAACCCACGCCTCCCTTGCGGCGCGGGGTGCTTCTCCCGCAGCCTCCCAGTCCTTCGCGAATGGGATAGCGTGCTTCTCGATGAAGCTCCGTGCGTAAGACCGCAGCTTTCTGTGGCTCTCGTTGTAGTATGCACTCTCCAGCTGATTGTGCCAGGCCGGCTCGGCCCAACTGCACACGTTGTCAGATTCATCGATGGCTCTGTGACGGCAATATCCAAAATGATGGTATCTTTCGACCTGGCTCTGGTGTTTTGAGTGTGCTTCTCGGGACTCACGGTGTCAGGTTTCCAAAGGGCTCCTGGGGAAGTCCAGCCTCATCGCCACCCAAAGGGAGAAAGGTGTATGGCATTTCAAATTATTGTTCTGAAAAGGTACGCTTTGGTATCTCAGCTTTCTTTTGTTTGTCAGGCAAGGCCAGAGTGAGACACTTAGATGTATGATACAGGCAGACACGAAGAGCTCATAATAGCGAAATGTAGCCATCTCTGGAGCCATGTGTACGTGCCCGTAGTTCTGGCATGACTCAGAACCTCCGGGCAAGCCGCCCGGATGAGTTTGGGTTGTTCCAAACGGGAGGTCGAGTGGATCTTCAGTTTTGCAGTCATAAGGCTCCTTCCAGAATCATCCCTGTCCGAAAGTGCCGACTTCCTCTCAATGCGGCATGTGGGGACACTTCGTAGTGGTGAACAGATCAAACGATGAAACAACCCCGATTTGATGCCTGACAGTGAATACTCGTGGGAATGACTAGCACAGAGTTGGCTCACCACAAGCCGTGCTGCTGTCTGGCAACTCGAAGCAGCTCATGTTGTGCGCCTCAAAACACATGCAGTGCCGTTGAAGCCCGTCTTCCTTGCTGCTGTGGAATGGATAGCTTATTGATTTCACGTGTGCGAGGACAGGCTGAATAAGATACTGTCGTAGTATCCAGATTACTTAGTTGCACAAGCAAGGGGCCCGTAGAACATGGAATTTGTTTCTCTCATAGTCAGTTTTCTCTTTACATGAACAGAGTATGTCTCTTAATAGCGGCCCATTACCGAGTCTGAAGTCCATGCAAGTCGTACATGCTTCCTCTCACGATAGCTCGCAGGTACGTATCGTGGCTGCCATGGACGCAGGGTGGATGACCGTTGCGGCCCAATGAGGCTAGAGGCAGGTCTCGAAGAGCATATCACCACTAGATATCACTGAGAGCAACAAGGCAAAGATTTGTGTTGGGTGCTGAGGCATCGGAGACAAGTCCGAGCAGCCTGGCAAGTTTTCCATTCAACCGAGCCCGTGGGCAACTGCTCCAAACGCACGGCAAACAACCCCCTAGCCTTCCTCTAATCGCGCCTCCATAGATGCGAGAGGAGAATATGAACAGGAAATGTGTGGGAAAGAAAAGAAAAGGAAAAGAAGAACGAGACAAAATCAATGAGACCGCCTTCTCCTGAGCCTATATGTGCCCGGGCCAAAATCAAACTCCGAATCCTGACCAGTGGATCATGCGTAAAACGACAAAAAGAGGAGACACAAAACCGAAAGAGACAAAAAGACCCAAGTGACGCCGCAGATGCTGGCCCGAAACAGAAACAACCCAACGCTACCAATCCTCTCCTCCCAGCAGATCAGTGTCCCCCCAGCAACAACGCGCCAAGCCTTCGAGGTCCGAAATGGCCAGATCATAGCAGCCCATCAGTGCTCAGGCAGTTGGAAGCGAAACAGGGTATTGAAGTGCCTGAACCGAACATGATACAGGCCTGGCCAAAGTACATGAAAACGATAATAAATCAAAAACACGAGAAACGAATGGTAGACGGCTGCCCTCTTCTTCCCCTTCTCTCCAACTCTGGTGATGTGCGTGAAATGCGATTTGCACCGCAAGATAGCCAGTGGCGCAGAAGGACAGCGTCGAATGCAAGGACGATGAAGCTGGCCCGCTCGAAGTAGACGATTCACCACAGATCATAGTCTGCTCCTGCCGATGTGCAACACAGGACGAAGTGTTCCCCCAAGAGTCAGGACACTCATGAACATAGCACATCGCAACCCATGCTCTTGGCAATGCCCTGCCAATCCCAGACGCGCAACCATTCGCCACGCTCCATGCACCGCCATACTTCCTCGAGAAGCTCGGTGACCCTCTCCGTGTTTCGCAAGCCCGTATACCCCTTCACTGTTCGCACCGCCGTCCTTATCCTCTCCTGCTGGTCAGGCGCGAAACAAGCCGTACCGATCACGAGGCACGGGATCAGCAGGAGTTTCTGCGAAGGGTCGCTTGGCTTGAAAGTTTCGAGGATGTTGAGGGACTCGTTGACAGCAAGAGTGATGCGAGGGTCGTAGTTGGGCGGCTGACGGACGGGCGGCGGGGATTCGGCGACATATGGGTGACACTCCAGACTGGAGGTGTGCTGGTGATGTTTGATTGGCGGTGGTGCTTGGGAAATGGTGTAGTTGGCGATGGTGTGTCGGCGGATGGGTTGAGATGGCATGTTGGAGGCGGAGGTGCGCGGCCGTATCGATGGCGACGATGCGCAACTGTTGTTTGCGGATCTTGGAGGGGTGTTCGTCGAACCGAACAGAACAGACGAGTTGTGGAGTAGGGGCAACGATGACGAAGGCGGCGGGGACATGGGCGGCGGTGGATATATCGTCCGGAACAAGTACACCCACATCATCTGTTTGTAAAGAAGGCCAACACGGTCCCGACTGTCACCTGGAGGCCACGATGGCGTCCAGTCCCGGATTGCTGCATCGATTTCGGCAGCTCTGTACAGGCCCGTGTAGTCGACCGGTGGGTCCACTCCAGCGGCCATGTTGGCCCTGATTGTGTTCCTGAGCGATGTGATTTGACACAGGTAATTGAAGAGGCCATCGGCAACACCTAACAACCGCGGCGGATGAATGGAGACGCTGGGGGCCCAGTCCTCGGACGCCAGTCGTGGAGTGTGCATGTCGGGGTAACGAACCAGCTCATCGGCGAAAATGTGATACTGGAAGAACTCCATGATGAAGCTCAAGAAGGCTGGATCCTCGGGCGGGGAGTGCTGGATCAAACGCTGATAGCCTCCGAGGTGGACCCTGTGCTCGCCACGGGGGTTGCCCTCGGCAAGAGCTTCTAGGAGCAAGCACAGCATCTGGCCATACCGAGCAGACAATATTGTCGAGTACTCGGTGTCATCTCTGTCCGAGTTCAGACTTGACCGTGCAAGGTCCTCGTAGAACTTCTCCATCGCTTTCTCGTGGTGATAGTCAGATCGCTGCTGGAGGGCGTCAAGACTCGTGTTTGGGTTGTCCCCAAGAATCTTTGCGCCGTAGGGCGTTTCAAAGTCGAGGTGCTTGCTTGATAGGGCGAGGATGGAGTGCATGAGGCCGCGGTGTTTAGTTGCTATCGGGATGAGCAGGTCCTTGAACGCGTTCTTGTGTTCGCCCTCGACTGTCAGCACGGTGCTTAGATGGGCGTGATAGTGCTTCCAGAAAATCATGTCCTCTGCGTTCTCGAGCCCGTGAAATATGGGCTGCATGGTTATCACTGGCAGAGGCTGGCTAAGGCTCAAGCCACCTAGAGGAAGGCGTTAGCGCCACCGAAGCCAGGTTCCCACGGCTCTTGTCTCTTACCTTCCGCAGCCTTTTCCTTGCCGCTTTTCCATATCTGCTTTTCGGGATAGCCTTCGCAGACAACGGCGTTCTTCTCACAGTTCATACCTACCAATCGTGGTCAGCAAAGAATGCGCACATGGAGAAGGGGTGAAGACGCGGTGGAGTATGGATATGGGGCAAACCCCACCGCCTGGAGTCGCTGGACCTCGTGACGTACATCTAGGTTTTGCCTCGTCGCACTTCTTCTTGCGTTTCCTGCAGGTCAGACACCCCGTCTTGGATCGGCCCTTGGTGATCTTGTTGGTGGAGACGACTGGGGTGAGGGGATGTTTGCGCGGCCTTCCACGCGGTCGCTTCGCTTTTGGCTGGGCTGATGTCGGGCTGGTGTTGCTTGGAACAGGGGTTGGAGGGGCCTCCTTGATCTCGTCGAGGCGGATGTCCTCGTCCATGGGCTCGACCTTGGGGACCGCGACGCCCTCGTCCGACCCTTGCTCCCAGTGCATGTCGTGATCACCCACGACATGCGTCACGTTGACATCCTCTGCGTTCTCGCCGTAGATCATGCTCCAGGAATCTGCGACGGAGGAGGATTCTGACTGCGACATGGGCCGGGCAGTCGCGGATTCTGCGGTGGACGGACACGGGCCGTCGTCATGGGAGTGCCCAACAGCCATGTCCATGCCCGTGCTGATGGGCGACAATTGGCCGTTCAACGGGTGTCGCACGGTCGCAGATGATGCGGTTGAGGTAGAGGCGGGAGCGGGGGCCGAGCTGGTGGTGTTGTGCGCGATAGAGGCTGGGTGTATTTGGTGAAGGGCATCCATCCATGGGGGTGACTGCGGGAGCATCATAGAGTGGCGTTCGCCCGAGCCCAGGCTTCCGACGGTGTTGGACGCCGACCACGACAAGATCCGATCTTGGGCGCCAAGACGAAGGGAATGTTCCATAGCTCCAAGGCGGAAGGACTGGGCATGCCAACGAGCAGACAGACGGCTGGTTTCCGGAGCGTCGAGTGCGGCGGGAGGCGATGGCGTGCGGGCTTTGGACGGGGATTGAGGCTGAGGTTGAGGTTGAGGTTGATGGACGGATGGATGGTGGGTGGTAGGTGGAACTGGTGGTGGAAGAGATGCAGGAAGCGGAGATGGAGATAACAGAGAGATGATGCAGTCAAGCCTCTCAAATATGGCAAGGTGCCAGATGTGGTTGGGCGGTCGATCACGATATGCCTGTCCCGGCTCTGGAGCTATAGGTTGTGAATGCGGGAGCAGGATGGGTAGGACGTCGGGATGTGCATGGATACTGTGGAGCAGGTGAGGAGTCGACGATCCAGCGAGGACGCCAGTGTCGGCGAGCAGGACCCAGGACCCAGGACCCAGGACCCAGGACGCAGGGCACAGATAGTAGAGTACGGTATGGCCGTGTACGGCTTGTCGGATAGTGTCGAGTGTCAAGTGTCAAGCGCTCGCCCGGTTGATGTGAAGTCTCAAACAAAAGGGCCAGGGACCATGAGACATTCAAAACCGCCAACCAGCACAAAGTACTGTATTCGGCCTCGACTCGGCTCCGTTCAGCCTCCCTCCACACAACGCATGCACACTCGCATGCACGCTCACACGCACTCGCGTACAGACACACACACACACAGAGACAAACAAACACACAAGAGCAGATAGGCGAGCAGGGCGTCTCCTTTTCCGTCTTGAAGCAGGCCCGGGCGAGAGAGCGAGCGAGCGATCAGTGGTCGGGAAACGGCCGAGACGGATGCAGAGGAGAGGAGACTCGAGATAGCCCGTGACCGTGTGGGTGACACAAGGGCAGGAGGAGGAAGAGGTGAAGACGTGAAGACGGCGGCGAGGGATCAACCACGATCTCACAGCACAGGCGGGATGGAGGGGTTTGTTGGAGTGGTGGTGCTTTGGCTTTGGTTGGAGGGGAGGTGGAGAGAGAGGTCTTATTTCTCCTTGTGGTGTTGAGAGGGTGGCACCCCCCTCTCTCAAGCCCCGGCCCATACCCATTCTTCAAGCTTCCCATGTCCCTGCCGGTGCCATCGCCATTGCCAGCTTCCCTGCCCTTGTCAAAATAGCTGCTGTAGATATCGTATCGTCGGCATGGGGGTGACGGCGGGGGCAGAAGGGGGGGGGTCGGGAGCCATGGCGGACGGACCATGACCAGTCAGTCCAGTGGCAGGACCTGACGGGACAGGCAGACGACACGGCGAGTGAGTGGCCGCCGAAGTACCTCCCCTCGTACGGGATAAAGAGATGTCGCTAACAGGTGGTCTCTTGGACGCGATTCATTTAGACCGTAGCACCCGGCCGAGCAGGGATGACCTGCTGATCACCGACCAGGAGATGGGGATTGGGCCAGCGCTGGATGCAGGAAGGGACAGGGTCTGGCGACATTACGCAGAAGGTGGGGGAGGGGGACGTGAGAGAGAGTGGGAGTATTCTGTGTACATGGATGGTATCTATTGTGTGTCCACAATATGGATGGATGGGTGGATGGATGGATGGACAGTGGACACTGCAACTGATGCGAGGGTCCGATTGCTACTCCAGATTCGTCAGCTGCTCACAGACCCAAGGGGCAACGTGGATGAGGACGGCTGAGGCCCCCTCCCAAGGTTGGCGGCGACGAGGTTGGCGATGGTGTTGTGTTAACAATCTGCCAGGAGACCGGGGAAAGAAAAAAAAAGAAGCAGCAGCAGCAGCAGCGAGACGAGAAAGCTGCTTCGGTGCTCTGCGACAACAAAAGGCAAGGGTGAGGGCAGGCGCAGGCGCAAGTGCAGGAGCAAGTGCAGGAGCAGGAGCACGAGCAGGAGAGTGGGGTCTGCTGTGCGACAGTACGTCCGTACAGTACCGTGCTTGCCCTCCTTGCTGACTACAGTGAGTGCTCCTCCTTCCTTGTGACCGTCGACCGTTGACGGTCGCTCTCATTATAACTATTTACCTACCTAGGTAAATATGGTGAAGCACGACGCAAGCAGCGGGTTGGACATACTGAGGAAGGGGCATCGGGATGGCCCGCTCGCCCAGGTGCTCTGATCTGCTCTGGTCTGGCCAGACCGTTATGCTCTCTACTTTATCTTGCTGTGTCTCCTGTTCTGCTGTGGTCTGCCAACTGCAGGATGCGCGGTGCACAAACTGGCTGCACCACACGAGTGCAGCTGCCCAACACGACATGCACCTACCGTCCTTGTGCGACCCGTAAGAGAGAAGCCCACGCGCGCACGGTCCACCCCAGGTCACTTCGGTCTCTCACTCTGGTGGTCACTCTGGGGCCTGCTCCAGTTCGCTTCTCCATCGGCATCCGCAACGGCTGCGATCAACTGGCTTCCAATCGCAGTGTGCCAGGGGAAATTGAAAAACTCTTCAAACGGCGAGGTTCTGGTGCTCAACAGCAGGAAGCAACGCCCATGCACAACGCCAATCACCCATCACCCATCACATTCCCCCATCACATTCCCCCATCACCGTCAGCCCTCATCTCCCGTCAACTCTAATAAAGCGGAAGACAATGAAAAAAAAAAAATTTGAAAAAATTAAAAAAATAAAAGCTTCAGTCGACATGTGCAAGTCGTCGAGACTGCCCCCAAAATCCTCCATCCTCCGTCACATCACGTCAATCACAGTGACCAGTCCCTTGGACCGTGCCGACCGCCTTGGCTTGGCATCCACACCTCGAGCATTTAGATCGAACGCTACGTTATTGGCCGCATGATCTACGCTGCACGACGTTCTCGTTCCAGCTTAGGCCTCGGATATGGACACAGTCAAAATACCCGAGACTGTCAGTCAGAGTCAGCCAAACACCGCATGCTGGACCCATTCCGCCCAACAGCTCTTCTGTCACTTGACTTGACAAGACGCCCAGGGACCATGGCTGGAATCACACTCGGCAAAACTGGGGATGCCGGCTAGACGCCCTCCAATCCCGCAGTCTCACGGCGTCAAAGCTCATACGCGCCGGACCTGGAAGGGAGCAGCGCAGAGCCGAGCAGCACAGAGCAGACAGCCACGACACAACGTGAACTTGACTTGGGGGACGGGTCAGTCTTGGTTTGAGCACTGATTCATCGCTCGGGGCAATGTCACGCGACGAGATGTCATGCAACTCGCTTCTCCCAGTACGGAGCACATCCATCGTCTCTTCACTCGCCCAGCCCGAGACCGCCCGACATGGCAATTAACACCAGCTGCGTCTGGAGCAAACCTGCAGCCGGAGCCCGTCACGTCCAGCCCAATTCTGTCTGCATGCCACAGTCTTCCCGGTGATGGGTTGTGGACGCCTACGCGCTACAGTACAGTGCAATCAAATACCCATCGACGTGCTCATACGCAGTAAATCAAAATCCCTGGGCACCCCCCTTCCCCACCCAGCTCTCCATTGGCTGTGCTAATGCCTGTCGTAGATTTACATCGACCCCTTCATGCAAGTCCCTCCCTCTTCGCTGCACACTGAGATGGGCCCATCGACCAGGATGCGGACCCTCCCAACGAGATGGCGAGGCATGGGTGCAGTTTCTGCTCCGTGCGCTGGCCAGGGCCGAACCCGTACCGCAGACGCAGAACCGTACACAGCTGGACGGGCCCAGATAAGAGTGCGCCTGGAGCAGCCTGTCCCCCAGACCAAAGGTCGGGGGGTCATTGAGATGCGAACTATTGAAAACCTTCCATGTCGGGTTGCCAAGCATTCGCGGGAACTCTGTGGTGCCTCTCTGCGTGAAGGCCAGAGTGAGCGATGCCACCGTACCACAGACGGCCCGTCATTGCAAAAAAAAAAAAAAAGAAAACCCCAGTCGGTACTCCTGTCAGGATCACCGCCCTGCCTTCCAAACCCGCCCCCCGTACGGGACCTCGACGACAGCAAGTAGGTGCATGACCCGCGGAGGCGCCCTTCCAACCACGTCTCCCAACCGCTCCCAGCCTGCCACAACGCACTTCCCTCCTCAAACCTGGTCCATTCCTATCAGAAAGGATCAGACCATCACAAACATGCCAGCTCCTTTCTGTGGAACCTGCGAGACAACCCAGCTTTCAACCTTTGGAATTCTGCAGCCTCGACATCGCCTGTGCTCACTTCTCAGCGACTGACTCAGTGCCTCGGCCGCCCACGCGGTGTGACGTGCTGCAAGAGGCTGTATGTATCATGATATCATCCCTCTATCTTTGTGTGCGAGAATCACCATCTCGAGAGGTCCCCGTAAGTTCTAACTGGCACCACAGATTGGGGTGGCACAACGTGGTTATTTCTAGACAACAACAACACCGGATGGCTGAGGTCGCATCCCCGATCCCCCTCTCTCTTCTTGCCGTGCCAGCCTGAACTGGCAGATGCCATGTTGGTGGCGCGCGCCACATCCACACTAGTCGAGCAAGGCACTGTCCAGAATACGCCCTTGAGTAGGGCGATATCCATGCACGCGAGGCTGCTACGCTGACTGGATCAATCACAGCATTTCCCGAGATTTAAGTTGTGGCGGAGGCGTACTGGTCGGCTTCCGTCGCAATCTTGGAACGGCAATCTTGGGACAACTCTTGAGCCTCATGCTGTTGGTCGCCCGAACCTCGCTCACCGCACAAATGCAACTGATGATCAGCCATGAGGCTGCAGCCCGCTTGCTTCGTCGCGACATTCGCATTCGGGGCAGGACCGCGGCATTTTGCCAGCTGTGGATTCTGGCCCGGTGGAAGTGAAAACAAGGTGTACGGCTTTTCTCCGGAATGTGATGTGTCATGTACCAGACGCAGCAGCAACATGCTGGGACCGACTGACTACCGAGCAGCCGCAAAAAAAAAGGGTGTAGACTTTACAGTAAACCCAACGGCGCTCTGTCCTTGTCATATTCTGCCCACTGGCTTCAATCCCTGGTTTTGCTCACCTCGGGGGGTTTTCCGCAGACATGCAGCGCCACAAGCCTTCGAGGCTCGCATGAGGCAGAACGGAT